GTTTTTTTCTAAGAATAAACTTTTGAATTTGAAACCTCAAACACACTTAACAAACGTATGTAGTTTACTCTAACCGCAGCATCAAAGAGGTTTTCAGCTAGTAGTAGGAAACCTTCTATTACCTCTTCCTGGGGAATGACAACTTGAACAAGCCCGTGGAAATCTCTCAGGACCAGGAATATGTTTTGCCTGATTAATAAAGAAAATGAACATTTTATGATAAAATCTTTAAGCCTAAAGTTTAAACAGGTAAAACAAAGAACCTCATGCAATTTCTCATGTTTCTTTTTTTAGAATTATATACTTTCACTAGCTACATTCATACAGTTGTTACTTATGTAACTTATTAGTGAAAAAACAGATCATGTTTTCATTTTCAATTTCAATTTTTATTGGCTATCTATACAGCTTACTGTTATCCAGATGGCTTATTAACAAAAAGGTAGATATTTTCATTTTCAATTTTCATTGGTTTAGGTCTTTATAAGAAAATTTTATTAAGTTTGGAAATAATCCACATCTTAAAACCCAAAAGCCATATTTTAGGAATATTATTTTAGAAATACCTGATTGGTTGCTTTTGAAATATAGCAACATAAGATCTTTTTTTTTTTTCCTTTGGCAATCCTGTGTGTATGTTAGAGTAGAACTATGCTCCGTAGGGATTTTTTGTTTTTTAAATTTTGTTGTTGTTGTTGAGAATATATGTAGGAAAATATATACCAATTCAACAGTTTCTACATGTACCATTTAGTGACACTGATTACATTCTTTGAGTTGCACAACCATTCTCACCCTCCTTTTCTGAGTTGTTCCTCCCCCATTAACATAAACTTACTGCCGCCTAAGGTGATCCCATATAGATAATTCTTAAAAGAGCATAATGCTCAAGGCAGACCTTTTTATTACTAGTTAAGCTAAACTATTTATTGTTTGGTTTTAAGAAGACTTCAGGGGATATTTTTGGTTCAAGGATCAAAGATTATCTCAGGTCAATAGTTTTAGGGATTATAATCTTTTCTCTTACTAAAAAAAATAAAATCTAAAATTTTCTGGAAGAATCCAACTACTAATATCTCTATAAACCATCAAAAGATCCCAGAGATCCCAACATTTCAGCATCGAACCTACATTTCTCATACTGCCCTTAGCACCAGGAAGGGGTATAGAAGTATCTTTAGATTTTGGTTCAGCATATAGAGTTACCAAATTTATTGGTGAAATACCCACCTATTTGGGACATACTCTTTAGGAAGGTCACACAACCTATACATTGTAGATACATTTTCAGTATGAATTAATGTACTATTCAGGTATGCTCTGGAATGTAGAGATGAACAAAACGAAATGGGTTCTGTTCTTAAGGAATCACTGTTCATGTTTTTAGGTTTTTTTCCCTACCTAAAATTAGAACAAAATATGCCTTTTTTGTGTTATTGGAGCTTACAGCTAGTTCATGGTGTGTTGGCCATGAAGCAGTTACTGGTCCTAGGAGCTCTTCAGCCTTAGTAAACCATTCTAGTCAACTAGTGCATAAAGGACCACCTTTACACCCTTCAACAGATGTTACTGATACCTACCAAGAGTGACACTATTTGGGTTTTTCAAAACAAAAACAAAACTGAAAATCCAATGAATTTTCAGAAGCCTGCAGGAGTTGCAAGGCTATTATTCTTTTAACTGGTTTAAAATTAATAAAGGTTCGAAATTGCCTTGGAAAAACAATCACCATGCATTCTTAATCTGCCCCAATTTACCGTCGGTACTGAATCCATCCACACAGGGTGACTTCTTGGCCTAAGTGAGAAGAACGCAACTCCCCACATGTGTTGGTCCGTGCAACAAAGCTATTGAACTCTTCAAAAAAAAAAAGTAAGATTAAAAAAAAGTTCAACTGTAAATTGCTTAAACATAAACATTCTCAAATCATAACATCTTAGGTATTTCAGGTCAGTGGATGAAATTTATAAATCAGATTATGTAATTTGATTCATTCATCGTTATATTTACCTGCAAATGTGCCAAAAGCCAAGTGGATCATTTTAATGTAAAATTTTGCCTCGTGTTAGAAAATTTAAATTTTTTGGATCATCTGGCATTTGCACTGACCTAAAATCTAACAGCCCAGTTCTTAATATTGCACGTTTCTTCTGCAAATGAGATGTGATCTTAGGAACTACAGAAGAATTTTGATGGTGCAGTAAATATCCACCTTTAGTATAGTCTAGTGTCTAACAGTCACTAGAAACACTATTAAAAGTATTCTCAAGCGAGAAAGAATAATTCAGGTTTCTTATTAGTAGCATCAAGGAACCCTGGTGGCCCAGTGGTTAAGCTCTTGTCTGGCAACCGAAAGAAACCATCTACCAGTGGCTCTGCAGGAGAAAAGACCTGGAGATTCTCTCCAGTATAGATTAAAAACACCAAATCCGTTGCCGTTGAGCTGATTCCGACTTATAGCAACCCTACAGGGTTTCCAAGGAGCAGCTGGTGGATTTGAACTGCTGACCTTTTGGTTAGCAGCCCAGCTCTTAACCACTGAGCATTACTGCCTAGAAAACAGGGTTTTGAACCTGTTCATTCAGGTCTGAACAGCTGCTGAGAATCTGCACTTCTAACAAGTTCTCAGGCAATACTAATGCTGCTGGTTAGGGACCAATTCTGAGAACCAGTAGTAGAGCAGTGGTTCTCAAAATTTATTATACATAAGAATCACTTGGGGATCTTATTAAACCGTAGATTATGATTTGGTGTATCGGGTGTGGAAATACAAATTCTCAGCAGGGGTTTGAACTGGAACAAACTGGTCTATGTCCCTGATAGAAAACTCTATGGGGCAGTTCTACTCCGTCCTGTAGGGTCACTATGAGTCATAATCAGCTTGGTGGCACATAACATTAGTAGCATCAACGTAAGAGCAGATTATCCTGTCAATACCATTATCTTTTTCTAGTCTTTTTAAAAACTCAAGGAAAAAACTGCATCATAAGGAACTAGGAGAGTGAATGATCTGCTTCTACACACAAGGATATCTAGTTAATCCTTTGGTGACTCAACTATTTTCTGCTTTGAATTTTTTGTTAATACCATGTGTTTTCATTAATGGAAGAAGCTGAATCACTGATTGTGTCTGAATTTTTGGCAAGTAGTATGGAATTTTTTTTTTCTTGCCCTCTCTCACAAGCCTACCCGAAGTGTTTAGCAGTACTTTTGAAGTACCATTAATTATGCCCCAGAGTTCCCATCGGGATCTACTGGTGCTTTTGTGTAACAAATAAAAATTTTCAAAATTTCTGCTTTTACTACCAAAAATTCAGATACCTCATACAATACCTTGTAAAAACAGTAATTTGTGGCACACGCCCATTTCTTCAGTTTCAGTCATAAAAGTCCCTGCCTTGCGGCAGCACGCACTGGCACTGTCAGTAGTACAGCAGTTTTCAATAAACCCCAGAGCCTGAAAACTTTCACGGTCGCTATATGTACCTCAAGGCACAACAGGGTTAAGACAGCGGCGGGTGGAGGGAGGAGATGGAATAAGAACACTCTGGCTGTAAAGAACAGGAGGAAGTGCTGTTCAGAGGACAGAGCTCTTCACTATTTTTACCTGGAATTCTCCACTGTGGACTCAGTACCAGACTTCTGGAGAGAGAACCCCAGACAGGCTTGGTGGTCCTTCCGATGGGTCTGGATAAACCCTTGTATAGCAGATTTAGCCCACCGCGGCAGTACATGTTGGAGACACAGGACGGCGCCAGACGCTCACGAATCCCACGCTGCCGGTGTTGGATGGTGGTTAAAAGTCAGTTTTGGAAAAACGCAGAAATCCCTTAAAATTCTAGGACGTGCCACTCTCCCAGTTATTTCAGCCCTCTTCGCTGAACATTCAAGCACACGTGTCGAGAAACTAGAAAATAAACCTGGAAGGTCTTTGGGGCCATGAAGGGAGTGGGTAGAAGAAAGACTTTTTTCCCCTCTCTGTGCATCAGTTTCTACTTATAGTAACAAACCAGGCAGCGGCCAGAAGTGACGAGAGAACGATTCCACACTGCAGCGTAAGGCGGAAGCCCGCGACAATCCAGAAGCGGAGGGGGGGGGGCGGTCACTAGGCGCAATTCCTTCACTTCCTTCCTTGCCTCCCCCAAGGCTCCCGTGCAGAACCGGAAAACAGGGAGGAACTCGGCCTTGCGTTTCAAATCTCCCAGACTTGGCGGCCGACCTCGGGTGTTCCGTAAGAGGAAAGCGAGCAAATCCAAAACGCTGTTAGGTCCCAGACTCAAACACCACTGGCCTTTAGGAACCAAGCGCCTCTCAACCTGCCCAGCGAGCGTCCAAGATTACGCAGTCAACCAATCAGAGCGGAGGTGAAGCCGCCATGCTTACTACGGGCGGAAATTTGGAGGAAAGCTTCGCACTGGTAGACCAAGGGCTGGAGCCAAACACTGAGGTATTAGGAGTACGGACGGTAACCTTTATTTAGGCCGCTCAGCCTTGCCCTTAATTAAGATGGCGACCTTAGTTGCGTCAATGACTTCAAATCAGCTGGGCGCTAAGGCATAGTCCTGGGTCGGGCCGCAGAGCGAGTCGGGATACAATTTTAAACGGAGGCGGCGGATGAGGGCTAAATTGCCGCTTCTTAACGGCGGGATTTGAGAGCTGGCCTTGACCCCTGAAAGGCCTGGGTGGAGAGCGACGAGTTGGGGCACATTGTCCTTTGCCTTTGCCCCCTCCAAGAGGAGTAGCCGCCTCCGCAGGAGCGACGGTCGCAGAGCTGGGCTACTGGGTCAGCGGAAATGTCCTTTCTCTGGAGAAGTCGGCTGGCCTCGCGTCTGAGGGAGCAGAGGTCTCTTTACTGGGCGTGTCTGTATCTCTAGTGAACCCATTTGTTTTGGAGCCTGAGGGAACTTGGAGGGCCAAAGTTTTCTCCGGGCTCTGTCTTAGCTGTCATTTTGGCGGCTTTTTTTACTTCAGGGTATTTTAGCTTCGACGTAGTTTTGGATCCAGACCTGAAGAATGATTTGTGAATCCGGAATGTGTGACAGCGTCATCGCAGTATTTTATTGGTAAGATGCTTTGTATTGGTCCAGGACTGGCTGTAAACTTTACATTTTGCCCTGTTGTGTGGTCGTTATATTTACAATACTTGTGTTTAGATATGTTATGCACTTGCTATGTGCTTAGCACTCGGCCAAACATTGGGGTCGGGGCGGTAGAATTTAGATATTAGTTACAGTGTAGAAAAGGAATTTAAGTCAGGGTCCCTTCCTTCGCGGACCTATCCTAAGAAAAACATCTAAGTTTTAACTGAGTGTTACGAACTACAAATGCAAGAGGAGTTGGCGAGAGGGCTAGATCCATAGACGCTGGAGACCTTCTCCTGAGGAGATGGAACCTGCAGGATGGATAAGATTTGGTCAGAAAAAAAGGGAGTAGAGAAGGCCTAATTGGCGATAGGTTGAATAAAACTCAAGGAGCTGAAGACAAACATGATGGGCATGAAGAGCAGTAGGGGGCGCATGTCTGGAATGTAGGGCAGTGGATTTTAGACGTTCAAAGAATTGACTATTGGACCATTCTTCATTCCCGCATTCCCACGCCACCAAATACACGCACATACAACATATTGCATACAATCTTAGAGGGCTGCTGGATTTTGGAAAGGCTGTTTGTCCATGGATTTTTGGGTAGGAACTCATGAAGTAGTAGAAAATGAACGTAGACAGGGTCAGGTAATAAGATCAGATATTGAAGTGCCTTGAAACCCAGACAGAAGAGTTCTCACTTTATGCAGAAGATGAGTGGGAATTGTTATGGGATTGCAAACAAAGTAATAACAAGGTAAAAGTGGTGTCTATGGGAAGACTAGTCATGGAGTGGGGAAAGCGGTTAAGATTGGGAACAAGATAACTGGCTATAATTAAGTGAGAATGGAAATGAAGACCAGACCTGAGTGGCTAGTATATATCCATTTAAGATGTCCGAATTTGATGACAAATTGGATGTAAGGGTGAAGTTGAGAGAAGTAAAGTTTGACTAAGATATTTTCTGGGGGAGGGGAAAGAAAATGAGAAGAATGAAATTATTACTGAGAGAAACAGGGTAGTTGTAAAAGAAAGTAATTGGTTGAATGGGGTGTGAAATAATGTTTAGTTTTGAACTTAATGAGTTTGAGGACATGAAATGTTAATGTCCTAGAGTAAATTGGATATGTAGGACTGGGATGCAGGTGCAATGGTTTGAAGATAGAGATTTAGAATTCATATGTAGAATGAATGCTTTCATATGTAGAATGTGATTTCAGAATGGGGGGGGTGGTGGTACCCACTATTGGAACTGGAGGAAGAAAAGGAATCAGCAAATAAATCAAAGAACTATGAGAACAATGGAGGAGAAACATTCCCCCTCCCCGCCACACACACTTTAATTGAATGTTAGAAAAAACAAGGAAGCAGAAAATTTAGAGGAGTAAGGATGAACAAACTTGGTGAACTAAGTATTTGGCCGTGATTTTTTTTTTTTTCCTTTAATGGTATGAATCTCGTTTATTTAAACAGTATTTCTTACCTTTCTCAAATTGAAGACTGTGAAAAAATAAAAGCAGTGCTTTACTGAGTTGCCATCATCCTGGAGGCAGTGCTGCTGCATTTCCAGATCTGATCTCCTGGCCTAGGACCTTCGCACCTGGCAAGCACATCCCACCGCACTTTACGAAACTGATAAAGCTATTGTACACGACATTTACATTAGAAAAGGTGACGATTTAGGAAAGCCTGCTGTGGTGTTCCCTTTAAGAAAAGGTTACTCCACAGTTGGCTTCCTCAAGGCAAAATAACAGGTGAACACAAACAGAAACAAGATGATGGTCTGGAAGATGCCCAGGAAGGTGAAGAAGTTCTCTAAAACCCTGACTCTGCAGACTGGGCAGCCTCTGACCACCACGATGGAATTGGCAGGGTACCGGGTGACATCTTAACTATGGATGCTGCCCTCCCCTGCCCCCTCACCAGTCACCAAAAGTGCAGTGTTTTTATAGAGATGGATGCAAGAGAGATTGCTGAAGGTTTCCTATCAAATATTTATTAGTAAGTGGAGGCAATAGTGGTATAACAAATTTCCAGGAGATTGGCCTCAATAGGAATGAGATTAATTTTATTTAAGGAAAAAAAAATTGTGTAAGGAATACTAGAATATGCTTGGCAGTGGAAGAAAAGGATCCTTTGGAGTAGAGATTAGAGATGATAGAGGGTTGAAATAAACATAAGAAGTGGCATTTAAGGGAGATGGGAAGGAATACAGGGATCCAGAATGTTGGTAGATGGATTAGCAGTAGAAAGCAAATAAGACAACCTCTTTCTTTATGATTGAAGGATGATATTGAGACAGTAATACGTTGAGTCAAGATATAATTATAACTTAATTATTGGGCTGGGCAAAATTACATAGTCTTGAGTCAGGAGTGAGGGGTAAAATAGGTATAAATCATGAATCTTCAATGCATGGATTGGGTTATTTCACATTACCTTAATGTTAAATATTCAAGAGAAATATTTTCTCAAAACCAACCCTCTCTGTGCTGAGTTATTTTCTCACCTGGATTTATTGCGTAGCTAGACTTTAAAATCTTTTTGGAAATCATAACATTTCTCTTAAGGAGTCAAATTTAGTAGGGTTTACATTTTTCTTTGCCTTGAAGTTGATCTCTATTGAAAGGCAGTGTGACAAATGGATAAGAGCACTTGGTCTGGAATCAGACGGTCTGAGTTCAAATCCTGGCTCTTCTCTTGAATTGTATGACTTTGGAAAGTTACTTAACGTCTCCGTCTTCCCATCTGTCAACTGGGAATAGAATAACTCAACTTCATGGTTCTGCTGGAGGGTTAAATGAGACAATATTTGTTCTAAGAGTTTAGAAGAGTCCCTAGCCCATGATGAATACTCAATAAATGTTAGTGTTTATTATTCTAAATAACAAATTTGAAACAACTATTCTGTATAGGTGGCACTGATTAAAATTCCCTTTTAAATAGATAATTCAATATGCAATTAAAGATAGAATGTTTTAAAGTATTTAAATTGTGCTATGTAAATTGGTATATGATCTTGCTCTGGCATTATCTAGTCTTGGGGACTATATGTTTAATTTATGGAGTTTTGTGCAAAATATAGAGTGTCCTTGTTTGACACTGAAATTTAAATATAGTAATAAATATGATAACATTTTATTTGTGAAAAGCTTTTTAAAAAGGTAACTGTGACAGTACTTGGGAATAATTTTATAATTTTTAAATTGAAATTCCTTTAAATGAAAGTTGTATTTTAATTTTGGAGTTCTGTGAAATTCTTAGGAGTCCCTGGATGGTACAAACAGTTAAGTGCTTGACTACTAACCCAAAGATTGACTGTTCAAACCTATCCAAAGATACCTGGTGATCTGCTTTGAAAGGTTACAGCCTTGAAAAATATGGAGTGTAGTTCTGCTCTGCATACATGGGGTTGCTGTGAGTTGAAATCAACTTAACAGCAACTTATGGACATTTATGAAATACTTCTGTTTAGTTGAATCAATACTTTAATAGCTAAAGGGCATTTAGTATTGTACTAGGGTAATTATACAAAAGAAGTACAATGCATGGTTTCAGTCATAGTAGCTTAGTCTTGCTTGGAAGACAAGAAATACAAACCAAAAATAGTATAAGAAAGTATATGAATATAGGCCAAAATGTATGGTATAGACTAGATGACCTAGGAGAGTTGTGTGTCCTGGTGTATTATTAGTCTCCAAAGATTTTCTAGAACAGTCTTGAAGGGTTTTGTTAGAATCATCTAGAGGACTTTTACGGTTTTTAAAAATATTTACCCCTGAGATCTCATTCTACACACACTACACACACACAGGAGGGAGTCCACTGATACTGACAGAAGTGTATATAATGTAGAGGAAATAAGAGATTTAAACAAAACTACTGATTTTTGAAGAGGTCAAATTCAAGCATGGTCTTAAAAAAAACCGTTGCCGTCAAGTTGATTCCGACTCATAGCGAGCCTATAGGACAGAGTAGAACTGCCTCCATAGGGTTTCCGAGGAGCAGCTGGTGCATTTAAACTGCCAGCCTTTTGGTTAGCAGCTGTAGCTCACCATAGCTCTTAACCACTGCGCCATCAGGGGTGCATGGTCTTAAAGGAGTTGGAATTATAAAAGGATACTTCAGCTAGGGAATATAGTTGATAGGCAAAAACATGGAGACAATGATATCTGTGACCTGGGTTAGAGAGGAGAGGTAGGAGGATAAAGAGAGGCTAAATTATGAAAGACCTTAAGTACCCAGCAGATGAATTTGGAATTTATCTTGTCACTTTAGAGGTTTTTGTATAGGTGACTAACAAAGTGCCAATTCTAGAAGAATGGATTATTCTTAGATATAGAGAACTCTAGCTGCAGTAATAAGAACTGGCCTGCTGGTCAGGACTAAGGAAGTATATTTGGGAAGGGATGAGAGAGACTGTCGAAGGAAAAATTCAAAAGAATGTGACCACATGTTAAAGAAGTGAGGTGAGGGACTACGTATGTGAATTTAAGTTAAATTGGAAAATTGACAGGAAAATTTGAAAATGGACCAGCTAGGACTGGGCAGTGTTTTGTTTTATTGTGCATAAGGTCACCATGAGTTGGGGGCCAACTCAATGATAGCTAACAATAACAAGCTTTTGAAATGAGGAGGAATGGAAAGAGTTTAACTTACTTTTGAATATACCGTATTTGAGGTATCTGTAAGATATTCATAAAAATGGCCTGTAGCATATGAGAAATACAGAACTTGGTTGAAAACTCAAAACTGGGTGGAGGGGGAGCAGGGAAGAGAATTATTTCTCTATATTGAGGTGAGAAATCAATGAAACTGAGCATGAATTAACTTTTTAGTATTTAGAATTCTGGTTTTATTTCTCTTTATGTAGACCATGGATCCTTATGATGCGTCAAAATTGACTCCTAGACAAAGTGCATCCTCAAGGCTTAAAGATTACTTTATAGGTGCTACCCCTCTGCAGAAACGGTTAGAATCAGTCAGAAAGCAGGCTACATTTGTCTCGACTCCACCTCGAAAGAAAATTCCCCAGTGTTCACAGTTGCAGGTATGCTTTCTGTGTTCCTTCATGTTATCCAACAATCTTTATAAATACTCTAATTTTTGGTTGCTATTTATAGTATTGTTATTATTATTTTTTATACCCTACACTAATTTGTTCCATTAACAACAAAGAAAACCCATTCCCACCTGGGATATTTATAGTAATTTTAGATCTTGATTCTTCAGGTAATAAAATAAATGAGAAACAGTTAAAAAAAATTATTTCACATTTTCAGTACCAGTTATACCTGGAATTTATCTAGAATATCTTCACAGCTTTTCTTTGTTTTTTATGACATTGACATTTTTGAAGAATACAGTCTTCAACCCTTCCCTTTTTAAATAGAATAGTCCTCATTTGTGTTTGATGTTTCCTCATGGTTAGATTGAAGTTATGTATTCTTGGCTGGACTACTGCATAGGTGCTGTTGTGTCCTTCTTGGGGAATCATACCTGGTAGCACATAGGTGATGTTAATTTTGATTATCCTGTCAAGGTGCTGCCTGATTTCTCTACTTTCTGCTATATGATTACTGGTTGTCCCCCTACCCCTTTTTTACAACTAATAAACAGTCTGTGGGAAACATTTTAAGATAATGCAGATATCCTGCTCCTCATCAAAATTTCCCCTTACATTTAGTATGCATTGATAATTTTTGCTTGATCCAATCTTTATTGTGATGATTGCAAACTAATGATTTTCCAGCTCCAACACTGTCTCCATATTAAGCAGCCTTTGGCATCCCATTGTAAGTCCTTTTCCTTTCTCCACTCATTTATCTATTATTGGAATGGACTTAAGAATTCCTGGTTTTCAAGGTTTATAATTCATTACTAAATTATTTTGGTGCTTAACATGTCTCAGGTTTGGCTGGTGGCAAAATGCTCTGTTTCGATCATTCAAAAACAACTCTAGAGGCATATAACATTAGTAATTTGTAATTTTACTGAAATAGGGAGTAAAATCCTATTCAGTATGAGTTTAATATGTGGTTTTTGGGTCACTTTGCTAGGAGCTAATCACCCATACCTTTATTGTAGACCTCTTCTCTTGTCAGTATTATATACTTTAGTGTCTCTTGGGATATGAGAAAATTTTTGTGAAATCTTAAAGAAAAATTACTAGTAGTGGTAATGAAAGTGATTTTTCTTAACCAGAAAACAGAAGTTTTATATAAATTAAAGATTGGAATGTCTAATTCAGTGCTTCCTCATACCTGTGATATGAATAATTTTGGTCTACTTTTTGATAGTAATAAGAAAAGTGTTTATAATTTTCGATGAATGCTCTAGCCACAATAAACATTTTTTGTTAAGTAGACAACTGTAGTGAAGATTTCAGAAGATAGCTTGAGCTGTGAGACTTCTTCAGGAAGTGTAGACTCATTGGAAAATTCAGTTCGGGAGAAAACCAGGAGCCTATGTAAAGACCCTCAACAATGCCACAGGGCCAGTACAAATGAAGCAGTTTTGTTTTTGATGGTGCCTGTGGTCCTAATAGAGCATGGCAAAAAATATTTCCAAGTATTTGATTATTTAATCTATTGAAATAGTCATTATTACACATTAAGTGAATTTACTGTCAAACAATTTTTTAATTATACAATTAAAGCTAATCAAATTAGATACTTTCAGAATAGTTACTATTTTTGAAATCTATAATTTGAAGTTGCTAAAAGTGAAATGTAAATGTTCATCCAATAAATATTTATTGAAACTGTTCTAGATGACGTAGTTCTAGGTGCTAGAGATGTAGTGGTGAACAAAATACCAAAATCCCGCTGTCATCAAGCTCATACTCAGGGAAGAAAGACAACAAAAATCAGACAAATATATAATGTCAAGTAGATGTCAGTGTTTTGAAGAAAAAGAAAGCAGTGTTAGAGAATACAGAGTGACAAGGTTGGAGTGGGTGCAGTTGTTGCTTTAGATAGGGTGGCCTGTTGGGTGATATTTGGGCAGAGACCTGAAAGAAGTGGAGGAGCATGCCATGTGAACAGCTCAGGGGAGGGCATTCCAAATAGAAGGTACAGCAAATGCAAAGGGCTGTTCAAGGATCTGCCAGGAATCCTCTGTAGCTGGAGTGCAAAGATCAGGTGCCCAGTAATAGATTCATTTTAAAGTTTATGATACTATGATTAAATTCTTATTTACTAATTTTTCTAATCTTAAACTTCTTTTATCTGATTTTTTAGGAAGATGTTGATCCTCAAAAGGTTGCATTCCTTCTGCATAAGCAATGGACTTTATATAGTTTAACTCCCTTATATAAATTCTCCTATACTAATCTCAAAGAGTATTCTAGACTCCTAAGTGCGTTTATTACTGCTGAAAAGCAGAAAGGGCTTGCTGTGGAAGTGGGAGAAGACATGAACATCAAAGTGATTTTCTCTACTCTCCTAGGAGTGAAAGGAACACAAAAGGACTCTGAAGCATTTCTTGTCCAGGTATTGTATATAAGCAATACTGGCTTCCTAGGGGAAAAGAATATGCATTTTCTTCGTTTAGAAATTGTTGTGGTATTTTCTTACTGTTTTTAAATTCCTAAGCTTGTGATTTATAACCTGTGTTATGTTTGACCAAATTATAGTAATTTGATATGGCCAAATAAGATTTTTTTTCTTGCCTGATTATAATATAATCATGTTTATTGTAGAAAGGAGTCCAAGGGAGGTGCAAACAGTTAATGTGCTTGACTGCTAACCAAAAGTTTGGAGATCTGAGTCCACTCAGGTGCCTCGGAAGAACGCCCTGGCGATCTACTTCTGATAAATCAACTATTTAAAACTCTACAGAGCACAGTTCCACTGGTCACCATGATTTGGAATTGACTTAGACTGCAACTGGTTTTTATTGTAGAAAACTTAGAAAATACGTAAAAGTACAAAGAAAGTTAAAAACCACAGTTTAACATTTTTGTATGTATCTATTTGGCTATCTGTATCTGTACATTCTTAAAATTGAGGTCATACTGCCTGCACTTTTACATTATGACATTTTTTCTAATCAATATTGTAAGATAATTATTAATCTCATTGAGACTTAACATGTGACCTAATGTAGGTCTATCCTGGAGAATGACCCATGTGCACTGGAGAAGAATGTGTATTTTGCTGTTGTTGAGTGGACTGTTGTATATATGTCTGTTAGGTCTAGTTCGTTTATAGTGTTCTCCAAGTTCTCTATTACACCAGTTCTTCACTTATCGACTATCTCGTTATATGACATTTAGCATTTATGACAGTAGTCAAAGATCTACTATCTGACTATTTTGCACATTAATGAGGAGCTGAGGCAAGAGGGGCAGGAGGGGGAGGTGTGTGAGACAGGCAAGGCCTCACATACTGCTGTTGGTTCGTATTACCCAAGTCGAGTGGAGGAGCCAGGCCAGACCTGCAGTGAGCTTGGGGCAGGTGGGTGGCATGCAGGAGGCAGGGGTGGCCGGGCCACAAGGAGGCGGCGGGAACAGAGGCCGCAAGAGTCAGGCGGGGGGCTTGGAAGTCTGTTTTTCCAAAGAGGCCTCTACCACCCTACAGCCTCTGCTGGGCCCAGGTGGCTGGTCTTACCTGCCCACATGCCCGGGAGCCACTCACCACTGAGGCCTGTCTCTGGGGCCAGCGGAGCAGGAAGGTGGAGAGGTGAAGCGGGGGGGTCCAGCAGAGGCCTGGAGCATAGCCAGGTGATTCTGCTAGAGCACGACCAGGTGGTGATGGACCCCTGCTGCTCTGGAGGTGGTGAACAACCCCTGACTATCACCACCACCGCACCCCCCAATCCCAACCCCAACCCCCACGTGCTCTGTGGTGGTAGGGAAGGCGTGGTGGGAAAGGGAGGCCATTGTGCCACACGCGTTCTGAGACATGTTAGGGGGCACAAACGGGGGGACACTAGTGAAGACGGGGCATGGCCCCCACTCTCGCATAATGCCAATTTTCATATAATGACCTGGACTTTGGAATCTAACCGTGTCGATAAGTGAGGAGTGGGTGTACTTTATTGATCTTCTGTCTAGATGTTTTATCCATTATTGAAAGTCTTCAACTATTATTGTAGAACTGTTTATTTCTCCCTTTATTTCTGTCAATGTTTACTTCATGTGTTTTGGGGCTTTCCTGATATATATATAAATATATACACATACACACGAGCGCATATATATGTAAAATCTTGATGAATTGACCCTTTTATCATTATATGATGTCCTTTGTCTCTTGTAACAGATTTTGACTTACAGTCTATTTTGTCTAATATTAATACAGCCACCCTGCTCTCTTTGGATTACTATTTACATGGAATATATTTTTTCTCTGTCTTTTCACTTTGAACCTATTTGTGTCTTTGGATCTAAAGTAGGTCTCTTGTAGAGAGCATATATTTGGGTTACGTTTTCTTATCCATTCTGCCAATCTCTGTCTTTTGATTGAAAAGCTTAATCTATTTATGTTTAAAGTAACTAACAATGAGGAAGAATTTACTTCTGCCATTTTGCTATTTGGTTTTTGTGTGTTTTATACCTTTTGGGGGGCCCTGGTGGCACAGTGGTTAAGAGCTCAGGCTGCTAACCAAAAGGCTAGGAGTTCAAATCCACCAGCCGCTCCTTGGAAACCCTATGGGGCAGTTCTACTCTGTCCTATAGGGTCGCTATGAGTTGGAATTGACTCGATGGCAACGGTTATACCGTTTTTGTTCCTCATTTCTTCCAATACTGCCTACTTTGGTGTTCAGTTGATTTTTTGTGGTGAATCATTTTGATTCCCTTCTCATTTCCTTTTTTGTATATTTTTTAGATATTTTTTTATGATTACCATGGGGATTATGTTTTACATCCTAAGTTTACAACAGCCTAATTTAAATTTATGTTGTTGTTGTTATTAGGTGCTGTCGAGTCGGTTCCAACTCATAGTGACCCTGTGAACAACAGAACGAAACACTGCCCCGTCCTGCGCCATCCTCACAATTGTTGTTATGCTTGAGCCCATTGTTTGAGCCACTGTGTCAATCCATCTCACTGAGGGTCTTCCTCTTTTTTGCTGACCCTGTACTTTACCAAGCATGATGTCCTTCTCCAGGGACTGATCTCTCCTGACAACATGTCCAAACTATGTAAGACGTAGTCTCGCCATCTTTGCTTCTAAGGAGCATTCTGGTTGTACTTCTTCCAAGACAGACCTGTTTGTTCTTTTGTCAGTCCATGGTATAGTCAATATTCTTTGCCAGCGCTATGATTCAAAGACATCAATTCTTCTTTGGTCTTCCTTATTCATTGTCTAGCTTTCGCATGCATATGGGGCGATTGAAAACACTGTGGCTTGGGTCAGATGCACCTTAGTCTTCAAGGTGACATCTTTGCTTTTCAACACTTTAAAAGAGGTCTTTTGCAGTAGATTTGCCCAGTGCAATGCGTCTTTTCATTTCTTGAGTGCTGCTTCCATGGGTATTGATTGTGGATTCAAATAAAGTGAAATCCTTGACAACTGTTATCTTTTCTCCATTTATTAGCATGTTGCTTATTGGTCTAGTTGTGAGGATTTTTGTTTTCTTTATGTTGAGGTGTAATCCATACTGAAGGCTGTGGTCTTTTATCTTCATCAGTAAGTGCTTCAAGTCCTCTTCACTTTCAGCAAGCAAGGTTGTGTCATCTGCATAATGCAAGTTGTTAATGAGTCTTCTTCCAGTTCTGATGCCCCGTTCTTCATATAGTCCACCTTCTTGGATTATTTGCTTAGCATACAGATCGAATAGGTATGGTGAAAGGATACAACCCTGATGCACACCTTTCCTGACTTTAAACCACGAAGTATCCCCTTGTTCTGTTCAAACAGCTGCCTCTTGATCTATGTACAGCTTCCTCATGAGCACAATTAAGTGTTCTGGAATTCCCATTCTTAGCAATGTTATCCATAATTTGTTAAATTTATACCCCACTTAAATTCATACCAACCTAAATAACACACAAAAACTGTTCCAATACCGCTCCCCACCCTTTATGTTGTTATAAATTGCATTTTTATACTCTGTGCCTAATAACATAAATTTATAATTATTTTTATGCACTGGTCTTAAACCATGTAGGACATAACAAGTAGAGTTGCAAACTAAAAATTACACATAAAACTGGACTTTATTTTTACCTATGACATTACCTTTACTGAAGAACTTTTTTTTTTTCTCTATGTGGCTTTGAGTTACTGTCTAGTGTCCTTTCATTTCAACCTGAAGGACTCCCTTTAGCATTTCTTATAGAGTAGGTCTCATGGTAATGAACTCCCTCAGCTTTTGTTTAACTGGGAATTTTGTAAGTTTACCCTCATTTAACATTTTTAAAAAATTTTTTTATTGTAGTGAGTATGTATAAGAAACAGAACATGCCATTTCTACAGTCTTCAGATGTTCAGTTTAGTAACATTAGTTATGTTCAACATGTTGTTCAAGTATCACCATTAATCATTCTTGAATTTTTCCATCACCCTTAACAGATCAGTGTCCCCTAAGCATTGTGTCTTCTTTTCCCCCTCCCTTCCACCTACTCCTTGTAACCACTAATAAACTTTGGTCTCTATGTGTTTGCCTATTCTAGATATTTCATACGATTAGGATCATACAATATTTGTCCTTTTCTGACTGATTTTTTTTACTCAGCATAAGGCCCTCATTTTTTTTTTTAACTTTATTATTTAAAAAAATTTTTTTTTATTGTACGTTAGATGAAGGTTTAACAAATAGTTTCTCATTAAACAGTCAGTACACATATTGTTTTATGACATTGGTTAACAACCCCATGACATATCAACACTCTCCCTTCTCGACCTTGGAGGACTTTTTTTTGGTGAAAATATACACAGCCAAAGATAACACCATTTCAAAAATTTCTACATGTATAATTCAGTGACATCAATTACATTCTCCAGTTGTGCTGCTATTCTCACTTTAGATGAAGGTTTACAGAACAAAACAGTTTCTCATTAAACAGTTAAGATTCATATTGCCCTATGACAATGGTTTACAACCCCACTACATGTCAACACTGTCCTTACTCAACCTTGGGTTCCCTATCACCAGCGTTCCTGTCCCTTTCTGTAAGGCCCTCATTTTTGAAGGACAGTTTTGCCAGATATAAAATTCTTGTTTGACAGTTCTTTTAACACTTTAAATGTGTCTTCCCACCAATTTTTGGCCTCCATGGTTTCTGAGGAGTAATTAGAGCTTTATCTTAGTGAGGATCCCTTGTATGTGATGATTTGCTTCTCTCTTGCTACTTTCAAGATTCTTTATGTTAGGTTTTCAAGAGTTTGACTATAACGTATTTTGGTGTGGATCTTGGAGTTTGTTCAGCTTCTCATATGTGTAGATTCTTTTTTTGTCAAATTTGGGATGTTTTCGGTCATTATTCAAATATTCTCTCTGCCCCTTTCACTTTCCTCCTTTTGGGGCTTTTATAATGCATTGT